ATACTAAATTAAACCATGTATAAAATACCTAGTATATACTAGTCTATACAGTGTACGCCAAACTCGCTGTGGACGTAATGTTGCTACAGTGCCGTACTATAGGAAGCTGTTTTTATTGGGGGAGGGGGGGGGGGCTGTAAACGAGGGCCGAAGGCCCGAGGAAATTTTTAAATTTAGAGTCTCTGAAATGCCATTTCCTGGACTTTGGGAAAGATTAAGATTTGACAGAATTTTGATGGTCAGAAAACAGTGTTTTAGTATGTCAAAATTTGCAATTTGTTTACAATTGAGTATTACTAAATGGGCAAAGGCGTATTTAATTAACTATATATTGGATAAGTTGCAGGAAAGTATGGGTAATATCTTCATTCTTTGCAGTTTGTCATGGATAATGTAGTACGGCCCTGTACTAATATGCTTACTGGTTGTCGTGAGTGTCTTTTTTATTAAAATGTACATCAGAGAAACATGACAATATTTATGGCAAGTTCATGACAAAAGTTATAAGGTAGATGTTCTATTGTTTTTTATATTAGCTGCACGCATTGCATTTTGGGTATTTGCGCATTGCATTTTCGGTCTATCAGTGTTGATTAAATTGAGAATTTTGCTAGGTACATGAATTAAATTTGCTGCCTTGCTCGCTCTCTGCGGTAGCAATAATCGTTACATATCAAATTTTTCCCCACTATAATAAAATAACTGGACCCCCTTCTGAACTAATATTTTTAGGTGGCCCCCTTTTTCGGTCAAAAATACCTCATGACCCACTCCCTTTTTTTGCCAGCCCACCCCCGGTCATAAATAATGAGAAAAAGAAAAATTTAAATTTGAATGAGTGGAAGCACTGCTAAACTAAGTATGCATAAATTAAAATTAATCATACGTAAATAATTTATTTTTGGAAACATTCAAACATTATTGTAGTTTATGTTTCAACACGTTCAATAGAGCAAACTTTTGTTGAACATATATGGATCCGTCGGCGCCAAATTCTAGCTACCAAGGACAGCCACCAGGCCCACCATACCCCCCAGCACAACAAGGATATCCTCCACAGGCTGGTTATCCCCCAACGCAAGCTTATCCTGCTCCACAGCAACAGCAATATCCTCCACAACAACCCTATCCTCCTAATACCCAAGTTCAGCAACCCGGAGGATATGGCTACGCACCCTTACAACAACCACAACAATACGGCACAGGTTAGTAGTTACAAGTCTAGATTTCTTTGTTTCTATGTGTGATATATTTTACTTGCTTTGTACGCGAACGTGTATTTTAGTATCGTACCAAATATGTGTATAAATTTGCAGCATCATAACAACTGTGTACAAAATGGCATTCACTATATTTGAGATAACGTGACTTTAATACGTATAACTATTTGGTACTTCACTTTAATGTAGAAATACAAGCAAATATACCAAGTATGAGTATTTGACATTTAAAAAGGTTATTGACCATTGAACGCGTCAGCCACATGATAAGACTTCCTCTACTTTCACATTCGAATGTGCATGTAGCCATAGGCAGGTGATTTTCATAATAAAACCACAATAATTTGGTTAAAGCAATTGAAAAAAAATATTCGGAATGGTAAAAGCAATTGAAAAAATATCCATCATTAGAGATGCAGTACACTTCGCGTACAGTCCAAGCGTTTATAATCAAATACTCTGAACCCAGCTAGTCGTCTTCATATCGTCACAGATATCGTCTTCATATATGTCTTATCGCTTTCGCGCATTCTGATTGGCTAGTTGAATAGTAAATCTGACGCAGCAGTAGTGATGGGCGATACCGACAGTATCGGTTTCGATACAATACCGATTACTTTTTGGTTAAAGTATCGAGGTATCGATTACCCAAACGATTACTTCCTCCAATTTTCAAACTAATAAATGTAAGTCACTTAATAAAGAGCCGACTGTTAAAGAAGTAGCCTTCTACTGTAACAGTAACGATATATTTTCAGAAAGTTACATATTTTTAACAGTAACGATTTGATCCGCCATTTTAATCCACAAAAAAACAAAAACTACTTTATTTCCCGCCTTTTTCATAATTTATTTTGTCGATGAGGATAGAATGTCAAATAAAGTATAAAGGAAGTTTGATTAAATTGATAAATGCAGCAAAATACAAAAAAGTACATAAATATTATAAGAAATAACCATGAAAACGATGACACAACTGCAGGATTATAATAAAATTAATCGATACCGTGCAGTATCGACTACTTCCTGTTTGGGCCTGGTATTGGGTGATATCGATACCAAGTAGTCGGTAATCGCCCATCACTAACGAGCAGACCAGAAAATAATGCTTTTCAAAAAGAATGATTCAGCAAATTTGGTTTCAAAATTGACGAAATATTGAAAAAAGTTAACTTGAGGTGTGGGGTTGCTTTTATTATTTTACTGTATCAAACATATTCACAAACAATTTAAAACTTTATGGTTAAAACTCTGAAACATTCACTTAAAACAAATAGCAAAAACTATATCCTGACTATGGGAAAAACCTTGCAGTGATATTATTTTAAAATCAAACCCTGGTATAAATAGCGAGATATTTGTTTTTGTTATACTAATTATAATAAACAAAATGTCAAAATTGTACTAGTCACTTAGCCACTAAAATATACCTACCCAATACCATCACATTACTCCTGAAATATAACTACCTGTAAATTACATCATGATTTCAATCTCTCATTTTAAAAACTTACTGGGTAGTCACATAGTCATTAATATGCCTGGTATTGTGTCTTGCCATTATTTCATTATTCCAATCTATTGATCGTCCTCAGGCCTTAAAATATTGGTCGGTCACAGACATTGTCCAACCCATTCATGAATTTGTCTAACATAGTGAGGAAACCACCGGACATTCTGTCCGACTAAGTGAAACTGAGGTTTATTGTTTGTCCGACCCGAGTGTATTGGTGTCCGACCGAACGGTAGCTTTGTCCAACGTAAATCAAAGTGTGCCCTAGTCCAGGAATAGAGGCTCGACTATGTTAAATGGAAAATCAGAGTGATGTATAAAAAGTGAACTGGAAATGTTTTAATGCAATCGAGGGCGGGGCGACGAGCGAAATGGTGAAGTGGAAAACAGGCTTAAGTTGTCAAAGTCTTTCTGCTGTTTTTGACAAGCCAGTTAATTTATGATGCAAGATGATGCAAGAAGCATCGAAACCTTGTTGTAATAAAATAAAATTAATATCGCTATCATTTGTTTCACAGTTAATTCCAGTTAATTTAGCTTGGAAATACGTATGATCATAGTATGGTATGATCGAATGATGCAAATTACTTAATATTTTCACAACATTTACCGTTTAGAATTAATACATTGTGCTGATATTAATTCGTGTCATTCAGACTTATTTCGGAGCCAAACTGAACTGAAGGTCATCGGACATCATCATACACATGTCCGACCGATTATTCTTTTGTTGCAGGTGAGCCTGCATGGCTGAAAACTATGGTATACAGCCAGCCAGAGTAGTGACATCTAATATTTTAAAATTTACTAAGTTCTATACATTTAATCATTAGATATATTAAATATTACATGTCAGTATGTTATTCTGTCAGTTTGTAGTGCCAATAATATGTAAAAGCGTCCTCAGAAACACTTTACATTGTTGGCCGGGGTAGAAGTGAAATATTGAATACAAGACGTTTAAATTAATCTGAATATTTCTGGTAAGAATTGGCATATTTGAAAGATAAATTAATTCTTACAGGTACAAATATTGTATAGAATATTAAAGAAAAAATATTCCGTTTTCATCAGTCTACTATTTATTATTAGTGGTATGTACATACAGCGATACAGAATAAGCTTAAAATAGTATTTATCATTTTGCTGTTTAGAAATATAACTTTTATCTTTAGCTGTTTTACCAATGCAGCCATGGAAACCAATGAAGGTTAATATCAACAATTTCTTTTTATACATTCGTTGATTCAAAGTATGGTCAGTACTGTACACTATGACGTACGTATAACTCTATGTTTAATTTATGAAGAGAAATTTTTGATCTATGATTTATATTTAAGTGCATGTGTAATAAAGTAGATTCGATATCTTTAAGTATGTCAAAGGGTTTTCACTATTCTTTACGTGATTCTGAACTAGTATTAGAGAAGAATAGATTTAGAACTAATGTATATAAGTTTTCATATTCTACTCGACTCGTATAGTTGACTTAGTTACATGGGCGGATTTACTGGGGGGGGGGGTTAAACCCCCTAGAATCTCTCTAAACCCTCTAATAAAGTGTTCAACCCACCAAAATTTCGCTTCACTACTCCTATTTTGTGTGAAAGGCTTTAACCCAAACGCCTTTAACCCCTGCCAAAGCTCAATGAGTGGTGCTGCTTGCACCCACCAGAAAGTTTTCTACCCCTCTTTTTAAATAAATGAAAATCTGCCCTTTCTTAGTTATATGGAACAATGTTCCTCTGACCTATCGCTTAAGAAAAAGTTTATTGAATATTACACAAAAAATTTCCACGATAAATCGGGCAGTATTAAACTAAACGATGATTTTTTTGTAGATTAATGTATTAAATACGTTAAGAAATATAGGTAGTACAGTATTTTTTCACGTAGATTATTTAATCCTCATTATACCATGGTTGTTTTTAAAAATTCCAACATGCATAATTAAACCGAGTAAATAAATAACATTTATTGCAATCCAAAATTATCATTTTTAATTATTTTTTGTGAAAGTTATTACTTAGAATTTGTAGTTATATTTAGCTTTAATTGTTTAGCAAATGGAACCTGCAGAGTGGAAAGCTAAATATACTATAAGTGTGTTAATTCCATACTCATTTTGGAATGGCACTGTCATTTTCATGCCATATACTGTACTTTAAAGTTTCAACTAGGGCAACGTGTATAACTTAAAAATATACAGACAGTATATACCAGCATTAATTACCCCTTTTTTTCATGCCGCGCTCTGAATTGTCATGCATGTATGTCAGCCGCACTTTAGTTTTGAGCGCCGCATTGCCACTGGTTAAATACCGTAATTTATGCCACCAGATAAAATAAACCGCGAGTCGGCACTTATTCTATAACATATATGTAAACCACGATAAGAGGTATCATCCTACAAAGGATACCGAACAAGTTGAGAAAGTCTGTATTACCACAGACAATCCAGAAGACAGATGTCTTCTGGATTGTCTATGGTATTACTTGGTTGAATTTTCTTTAGTATAGAATGGCATGAAAGCATATTTCGATACATGCAGCCGTTTTGAAAATATAACGATTTTCTTTTTATATTTGGATTTCTACTTCCGTCAGACGGCAACTTCACGCCGTATGACAACAATCTTGAGATATAACAATTTTCCCGTCAAGTTGACGACTCTGTTTTCAGATGCGATCATGGCGACTCGTTCTAATCACAAATGTTCTGCGCGGCCTCCAGACAGAACCTGACAAGCTAGAAATGTCTAAATTGTTTCATTTCGTCCATTTAATGTTAATGAAGAATAGCATTGAATAAGTTTTTTTCGATGGCTTTAAACGTTCCGACGTTATTGCGTTTTTATTATGAAAATCATCAGTCTCTTTTCATATTCGAATCTGAAAGTGAAATTACGAATCTGAAAATGAAATGGTTTCAACATCGTATGTAAACCACATGGCGCAAAAAAGTTTCCATTTGCCCATCAAAAATATCCAAATGCCGCAAATCCAAGCTCACACCTTATCCTACAATAAATTTAGAGTAAGGAATTGCAATATTCTCTGACTATTTTTCTTTCGTTTGGGGTGGAACACGCGCTTCAGGAAAGTACTTCACCTTGGCTGCCTCGATCGTTTTCGTATATCTGTGACATTAGTTAAAGCGAAGCATCGCCATCATCGAGAACGAGGCTCTATAGCCGAGTTGTGACGTACTTTCCTGAAGCGTGTATTGGACGAATTCAAGTCACGGCGACGGCTAAACAAACTGTTTGAAACAAATGATTGTATGGAAATCTTGTCTTGTATTTACTTTCTAAGTATGAATTTGGTACAGTTTCGAACGAGTAAAACACCTTCAGAGCAATTTTGATCAATTCTGCTAGAAAAACTACCTGTTACCGCTTGAAATGGTAGCGTACTATACGAGACGTGAAAATATGCATTTTGACGACGTCAAAACCACTGCTAGACTTTTAATTATTCATTTATTTTGTGCCATATGATTAATGTCATTGTATTGATCGTCTTGGCGTTGTCGACTTCCTTGCGTAAGCTCCCTAAGCGCTCTTGACATGTAGTATCGTATTTGATTTAACAATTCTGAATCTGAAAATGTACTCACATGCTGTAAAGTTTGGTCCGCGCTCAAGCAATGCGTCATATATATATTTGGAACTGAATTTCAGTCCGCACGTTGTCTACTGTCCAGTTGTTCTCTTGAGGTCAGTTTTACGACTTTACAGCGCTCTCTTCAGTACGAAGGCCGGATAGCGCTGTCCACCGGGTAGTTTTCAACCGTTATAAAAATTATTGAAATACTGCGTGGGATATATAGACCTAGAAATGGCCAAAAATCACTATCCGGCGGATACCGCTATCCAGCCTTCGTACAACCGGCCCTGGAAAGGAGCTGATTTGATATTTTAAAATGTTGTCGTATCATGACCAAGTGATATTTATCTTATTAAGGTGTCCCACCAGTAGCAGTTCAGCCAGGCGGCTGGATGCCAATTCCTGTTGTGCAGTCTGACTGCCCTCCTGGACTCGAGTATCTCACACAAATTGATCAGCTCTTGATTAAACAGCAAGTCGAGTTACTGGAAGGTAAATTAGCGATATAAAAGAGATTTAATACCAGTTACGCAAGTGAGATTTATTCAATCAGACATCTCTATTGAGTGAGATGGGTTTACACACTCTGCTACGGTACGTGTACGCATTCCGACTTCGGCTGAGACCAATTTCAGGTTTTGCTGAATGATTATTATGAATATGTGTCAGTTAATCACTTAATTACGTCAGATGACATTGATGTGTGTTTTCAATATCATTATGTTCGGTCTAAAATCGACTGAAAAGTCAATCCATTTTCTCCAATGTTATGTAACGTGTTTGATCGAGTGTCAATACAATCATACCAAAATGTAGAGGAGGTCAGCTCAAAGCCTGGATTTCACTAGCTACAAAGTTCAGATTTCTAAAGTAAAACATTCTTTTTTTCAACATTCTTTTTAATTTTAGCTTTTACTTCGTTTGAGACCAACAACAAGTACAAAGTTCAGAATTCTCTCGGACAGCAAATTTATTTTGCAGCTGAAGGTAATTTTTTTTCAAAGGTTATGAACAGTTTCTTTTAACTTCCATTAAAGCTCTGTAAAATCTAGGAAACATTGTTTCTAAAACATCATTTCGTAGCCACATTTATCGAAGGTGGACAAACCAGGAAACATGAATTCTTTCCTAGCCATGTTTCCCGAAGGTGGATAAACCAGGAAACATTGTTTCCTAGCCATGTTTCTCGAAGATGGGCAAACCAGGAAACATTGTTTCCTGGTCATGTTTCTTGAAGGTGGGGGAACCAGGAAACATTGTTTCCTAGTCATGTTACTTGAAGGTGGACGAATCAGGAAACATTGTTTCCTAGCCATGTTACTTGAAGGTGGACAAACCAGGAAACATTGTTTCCTAGCCATGTTACTTGAAGGTGGACGAATCAGGAAACATTGTTTCCTAGTCATGTTACTTGAAGGTGGGGGAACCAGGAAACATTGTTTCCTAGCCATGTTTCTTGAAGGTGGACGAATCAGGAAACATTGTTTCCTAGCCATGTTACTTGAAGGTGGGGGAACCAGGAAACATTGTTTCCTAGCCATGTTACTTGAAGGTGGACGAATCAGGAAACATTGTTTCCTAGCCATGTTACTTGAAGGTGGGGGAACCAGGAAACATTGTTTCCTAGCCATGTTTCTTGAAGGTGGACGAACCAGGAAACATTGTTTCGTAGCCATGTTACCCGAAGGTGGACGAATCAGGAAACTTTGTTTTCTTGCCATGTTACCCGAAGGTGGATAACGCGGAAACATTGTTTCCTAGCCATGTTACTCGAAGATGGGCAAACCAGGAAACATTATTTCCTAGCCATGTTTCCCGAAGGTGGACAAACCAGGAAACATTGTTTCCTAGCCATGTTGCTCGAAGATGGGCAAACCAGGAAACATTGTTTCCTAGCCATGTTTCTTGAAGGTGAACAAACCAGGAAACATTATTTCTTTGCTAGCCGTGTTTCTTGAGGTGGACGAATCAGGAAACTTTGTTTCCTTGCCATGTTACCCGAACGTGGATAAACTAGGAAACATTGTTTCGTAACCACATTACTCGAGAGTAGATAAACTAGGAAACATTGTTTCCTAGTCATATTTCTTCACGTGAACAAACCACGTTGGAGTAGACAATGGAATAGTTTTCCCTGGACTTAAATAAAGAGAATGATTTTTTTAATTTCAGATACGGATTGTTGCACGCGACAAATTTGTGGTCCTAGCCGTCCGTTTGACATACAAATTCTTGACAATATGCAGCGAGAGGTTATCCATCTCACTCGACCATTGCGTTGTTCATCGTGCTGTTTTCCTTGCTGTTTACAAGAGCTGGAGGTTCAATCACCGCCTGGTAACGTCGTGGGCTACGTTGCGCAAAAGTAAGTTTTCTTTTCAGTGACCGGAATATTCCATTTTATTATATACACAAGGTCTGGATATGAGGTATTTTGCAATCTGATTGGTTCTCTACTAGAAGGATATTAGCTCATATCCTGCTAGTGGAGAAAAACAAAATGGCGGCCAAACTGAATTTACGATGTTTTGCAAACGAGAAAACGGCAAGTTGTCGCTTTTTATATAGCCTTCACAGGATTAAAAACACAATGAAAAAACTCCCACAAATTGTTTTCAGGTTAGCAAATAAATTTTTAATATTTAAAATGGTTAAAAATATATATTTTTAAAAAAATAATCGGCCGAAACAGCGAAGATAAAAACATAAACAAAATAGAAAAATATTGAAAATATTCGAAAAGCAAAGTTTGTGAATTCAGACCTTGTGTATATAATAAAACAGTTATTCCACTCACTCTCGTCAAATATGAGCGATAGCCGATTCGGCGCTACGCGCCTCATCGGCTATCAGCTCATATTCGACTCGAGTTCGTAGAATAACTGTTAAGTAATTTCATTGTTTTGAAAGTCCCACTGTTCTCCCTGTCATCTAGTCCCTCACTGTTCTGCAAAGTTTGAGGAAAAACTGTGCCTCAACTATTTTAAGGCCACTTGAATGGCTCGTCATGTATTTCCACTTCACTATGCACTATGGCGTACATGTTACATGTTGTAAAAAACTAAAAATTGCAGTGCGTATTAAAAAAGATGTCAATTAGTAATCTTACAGGTTTTCTGACCGTAATTTTTCCGTTTGCTCCAGAACAATGAGATATATTGCTTCGTTCTGACCTGTAGAAGAACTTTGTGTAATGGGCTGTTTGCATGATCCCGCTTTACCGGGACGAGATGTGAGGCTGGATGATTTTGATGTATTGAAATAAGTCACGGTGCACGATTCAGCAAAATGACATTTTTCTAATGATACATTATAGTATAATTGTAAAAGAAAGGTTGTTGAAACATCAATAATAACTACGAGATCTTCTCTGCAACATTTGTGTTCTTTTAACCGGCGCTTCAGCTTTCGTTTAAGCCCAGATCAAGCCTTCCATCCCGGTAAACAGGGAGCATGTAAACAGCCCCTAAATGGAGGAAGTCCAGTGACGACATGATCCTTTATCCTTGTTAGAAAATAGTACTAGTACGTAGTTTGGGTAGCCAGCTATCTATGGTTGGCTTTGGAAAGTCATGGATAACATAGTTGAGTCAATGTTGTTATCTTATTTTAGGTGGTCCATTTTTTACCCAAGATTCGAAATCCTTACAGCCACACGTGAACCAATGTTACTTATTGAGGGTCCATTCTGTCAATGTAACATGTGCGGAGATGTAGAATACAAGGTTATTATTATTAAATACATCTTACATAATAGTCAGAAATTGATAATAGCCTAATGTTCCAATATACCATTTTTGACACGAACATGTTGTTGCAACATAGTCACATAACCAGGCAGTCATCCACCTCAACCTCGTTTCCAGGCTTTCCTGGGAACGAGGTTGCTTCACTTCTGCAGAACCTCGTGGTAACGGTACGGTTAATGATCGTGTTGGAAGTTTTAGTGATTTTGTACTTTGGGTCATCCAGCTTAGGATTTATTGCCCCTTGCAAACGTCTATACCACATTCGTTTGAGATACTGCATTCTTTACTGAGGTGAATTCCGGTGAGGCAGTGTGACAACCTAACTACGTGGTTCGAAGCACTCAAGTTGGAAACACATGGGCTGAGAGGTCTTGAATCCAAACTCGTTGTTTCATGCAATACTATGAACATGGACATTTTGAGTGTACGTTTTATACATTTATTAAGAGCTAACCAGGAGCAGCTGCGAAAATGCCACTATAGGCCCTCTGTGTTAAAGCTCAACAACTGGATTCCGTAGCTCAGTTGGTTAGAGCACTGCACCGGAATCGTAGGGCCGCAGGTTCAATTCCTGCCAGAGGGCCTATCGTTGCAACTGTTCCTGGTTAGGTCTGAATAAGTGATTGTATAAAATTTACACGCGAAATTATCCTTCAACATTAGTTAAATGCCCAGAAATCCGAATACTATGAACGCTCTGGTGTTGCTAAAGATATTTCCAGTTGTAGTCTTAGTCCATATCTTAAGCAGCTGCTGCATGATCATCCCCAAAAAGAGAACAAAAGGCAAGTAGGAGTGACACAATTCAAGCCCCGAGTTAAACGTGTTGATGGAGGCTAGGATATTTTCTTAGGTCGGGAATAAAGCCGGTTTTCCACTTCAAGCGTACCGTATCGAAGCGTATATGCAAAACATTTTTAAATTTCAAAATTTAGTGATTGTTGATTGGTTAATACTTCCGTAGTACGCCAAAAAGTTGACTTGCGTCGAACTTTTTATTTTGATACGCGAATACACCCGGAAGTACGTGGATTTATTAACCTCTTTTCAATCTGCGCATGCTCACCAGTACGTTTCGGTACGGTTGTAGTGGAAAACTGGCTTAACACGTAAGTGGAGTTTGATTGGTTTTCTCGTGTGGTTCGAGGGTGTAGTCCTCTGGTTTTCAGTGGTTTTCCTCCCTCGTCAAATGCGAACCTTCGGAACCCTTGGTGAATTGGGTACCTGTGTAATAGTCATTAAGTGACTTCGTAACGTTAGTGGTATCTTTTTTATTATCATCCTAGTAAAATTTTAAATATTTGCATAATTTTAACTTAATAATTATAATAGTAATTAAATAATAATTCGTATTTTGTCAACTTTACGTAATTCAGCCTTTGGCTGCAATGTAAATGTTTTATTAAACTATCTATCTATCCACTATCTATCTTATATTAAATAGTTTACGATCTACGACGCGGCCGGATCTACGCGTCGGTCTGCATTCCAGCTGAAGAATGAGCGCTAAGCAATTTGATTACTGTAATAAATATTTGAAGCTTTTTCAAATAACCTTACAAACTGCTAAGTTCGGCTAAAGCGATGCAATGTTTGCTCTTGAGTCGTAATAACCTTTCACGTTGCTTGAAAGACGTGATAATGCTTAGTTTAACGTTGAGTTGAGGATGACAAAGCCGTTGACCCCTGGAACCACGAATTATTCACAGTTTTTATCTTGCATGACAAATTTCTTTCTTTCGAAAACGCGTCGTTGAGCCGGCCGCGTCGTAGATCGTAAATTCTTTATTAATATTATAGTGACAGAAAACTTTTATTCCTCATTCTTTAGGTTCTTTCTAATGATGGTGTGACTGAAGTAGGAAAGATCTCCAAGCAATGGTCTGGGCTGATTAAAGAGGCTTTTACAGACGCAGACAATTTTGGAATAACATGTAAGATGAATAAGTCACTCTCGCGTGATACATTTGAACACAATCTTTACTAAGTTCTTTGTATGTTTGCATGGCGATAAAACATATAATAGTTTTGTTAGTGGAAACACCACGTAAATTTATGCAGTAATAAATTTACGTGGTGTTTCCACAAACAAAACTATTATACAATCTTTACTGTTTTTCCATATTTCTCGTACATTTCACTGCATCACTTTGTTTTGTCCTATCTCGCATGTGAAACTGAAGAAACGAGAATGAAATGTTTCTCTTCGTGGTATTTACCAACGTGTATTAGGTTTTGGAATATTGATGCGAAATATGGCACTATATACTGTTTGCCCCAATATTTGAGCGACGAAATCGAAACTATACAACGAAGAGCACTTCGTATCATCTTTCCAGACCTAACGTAGAATGATGTCGTGATTGCCGCATGAGTCGTTGTTTGAGCGAAGAGTCACACATGCGAGATATGTTTTGACCTGACGCGTGCTGATAAAACCCAAAAGTTACTTACATCACTTGTTCCTCCCAAGCACGATACCGGATATTTTCTCTATAACAATAATTATTATAGTCTTTTAATTACAATGTATATAAGACTAATTGATTTCGAAACAGTATCATCCCAGCCGCGAGTAAAACCCATTATGGAATACTACATAATAAATATAATTAAGTAAATTAATTAGTTTTTAGGTATTTCTTTTAGATATCTTGTAACCTGGAATTTTTCATCTACATTTAAATTTGACTCCTGTAAACCAATATAATTCTGTTTTACAACAAAATTGGTATTTCAAATAATAATAAATATACTTAACAATTATTGGATGAGGCTGAGCAGGATATCCAGAATTATTTAGACCGAGGTCAATGTTATCTGCCGAAGCCGAACGGCAGATAACATTGACCGAGGTCCCGAGGTCTGAATAATTCTGGTATCCTGCGCAAGCCGAATTCAATAATTGTTTTATTTTTCATTTTGTGACAGACAGAAAGAAAACAAAACAAGCAACAATTGAAAACAAATAAATATTCATTGAATTGATTAACTTTTCATAAATATAAATACAGCATAATTGTTAAGGTTACAGAACACCTTTGAGTGTTAATTTTGCCTACATTTTTTTTATTGGTTTCCATGAAAGCATTAGACTAGTTCTACTATCTGACCAAGTTTGAACGAAAAATGTTGAAAACTCGCAGAGTTATTTAATAAAATAGCTACATTTCGCTGCAATAAGAAAAACATTGAAAATGTAATATTCAAATTCAATTTTCTCCCGAAAAAGTTTACGCCGTAATTACTGATTTTCAAACGAGTTGTGCTCCTGCGGGTTTTAACCAGGACATATAATTTTCACAGGACATAGCTAAAGACGTCAGTTTCAAAATTGTGTTCGGCTTTTTTTTAATTTTGGATATTTTAATAATAAAGAGTAATTCACTCAAACAATTCAGAAATATATTGCAGTCGTCAAAGAAATCGCCATATCAGCGGAATGACGAAATAAACAAAAAATTCCGAACACCATTTCTTAGAACAACTATTTTACTGTATAAAAATGATATTTTCATAAATATAACTTAAAACCAGCAGGAGCACAACTCAAAAGCGTAACGGTACCGCGATTTAAGAGTTTCCTGAATAATTCTTACATTTTATTGTTTGTTAATTTTACAACTTTACCATATTTTGCATGCCCTGGCGAACATTTGGTGAAAATTTGATTAAAATCGGACTGATATTGAGCGCGCAGTAGCGCTTTTCCGCAAAACGCCAAAAAGGGTGTCCTGTAACCTTAACAATATTTCAAACACTCAGAGAAAATTTACTGTATTAAATAATTATAGCAAGTTTCGTCTAGCTGAAATAAACATTTTTTCAATTTCCTGCGTTGAAAACGTTGCGAAACGAGCACTAGCCATTGTAAACAATTGAAAAAGCCGCTCAACTAAAAATTTCCCGCCAATTTGTACTTTCACATAAAATACCTCCGAAATATCTCTGGCGCCGTCCAATAACCTCTGCATATTACTGTTTCCGCTGGAAATAGCGCAGGCACCTACAAATACCCAAAATTATTTGTAGGCTCTTAGCCAATGAAAAACCGAGAACACAGTACAATGAATAATAAATTATTTTATTATCTTCAGTTCCTATGGATCTTGATGTGAAAATGAAAGCTACAATGCTGGGTGCTGCTTTCTTGATCGTATGTATTATTTATCCAGAGCACAGTTTCACAGTGAGCTCATAAATATCTGGAGTGAAATTGAGTCCAAAAAGTGAAGCCAAAGATTGAGATGTTGGACGTCAGTTTCAGTCCCTTTCTATTGTTTTTTTCTGCGCGGTCTGCAAGGAGTGTGCCGAAATTTCGTATTTTGACTTCGATTTAAAGACTAGACTTCACTTTTGTTATATGCCGAATGACTGACATTCTTGCTCCAGACATATATAGAGCTCACTGGGTTGTCATTAGATCGCAGGACTTAGTCTCGTACGCATACCTTGAGGCGCATAGACTGATTGAGATTTTTGTAATTGATTGCAATTTTATGGATATAATGGAAACCAGACTTTACTTAAGGAAGTGCAGTGTGGATTATAACGGTCGGCAATCGGTTAGTTTCCAACACTGAATAGCCGAATAATTTTATTCTGCACGGAAATTTTGACCGATCAAATAAAATGCTGGCACTGTTTTCATTCTCTGAAAACGTCGCTCGATCACCCTGCGGACTCAGGACATTCATGCGAAAAGAGTCGGACAACTCTCTGCCTAAATAGGCAATTCCAGCTTTTAGTTTATGCGTGCAGGGGATGATAGGAAGTAAGGTATCATAGTGCTGATTATGCTGAAAATTTTCAATAAAAACTACCGAAACAGCCGAAATATTTCAATATTTACAAGTATAAGCTATCGCTCCGTGTTTACACGGGCCACCATATCTATTTTTTCAGCATAATCAGCAATGTGATACCTTACTTCCCATCGTCCCCTGCACGCATAAACTAAAAGCTGGAATTGCCTATTGAGTCGTGGGACTTCTCCTGGTACTTCGATTTCCTCCCACAGGAATATTCACAGCAGGGGTGCGATAATTAGCGTACTTACCGGAGGTAAGGTCTGGTACTTCTTTGTTTTCAGCCAAGTACCACACGCGGAACTCTCTGCGTACTTAAATTTTGTTGGAAAACCACGCGATCGTTCCAAGGCCAAGGTGTTCAAAACCCTACATGTGTGTATAGGCTGGCTTTCACTTGCCGATGTCGATTCTGATCGTAATTCATCCGCGACTGGCGCAAGAAATGAAAAAAATGTTTTGTTGCGACAGTCAGCGGTAGTCGACTGTCGCAACAAACAAATGAAATAAATCAAATAAAACAAATGAAAACACTATTCGCGAGTTGTCGACGACACTGAAATTGGTGCCTTAAATCCGACAATTAAGTCTTGGTATAAAACATATCCCAGATGAGATGAGATGGGGCTAAGGAATGTTGGAGTCAATTGAATTATGTTCATGTGTGTGATTCTGTCCCTTCTTGTTCCCAGTTAGGTTACTGAGTAAAATTCATGAATACCTTTACGAAATCTGACCTTTATGTACTTTATCTTAGAGTCTGAGACTGAAATACGCTCAATCTTAAGTTTGTACCAGCTCAATTGCAAATACGCGGCAGAATTATTGGAGTACCAGTCAGATACGACTAAAAATTTTGAATTATCGCACGTTGTAATGGTCCTGGCTTAGGAAACAAAGATCGCACGCTGTGACAGGGTGGGCTTAGAAAACAAAGATCATATATCTGCATTAGCTGCAACAAAATACATACCATGATTTAAATGATATTGTTACTACTACCAACAACGTGATTTAAATTATATTGTTACTACTACCAAGAACATAACTACTGTATGTTTGCTTTGTAGGACTTTATGTTCTTTGAAGAAACACAAGGCAGAGATGACAACACTCATTATTAAATATACTTCATCAAACTATCCATTAGGCCTGAAATATATCTCCAGGTTAATAGATTGCTAGTCATTATGCAACAAAATGTATAGATGTGATTTTTATCTCGTTCGAAACAGTTTTACTCATACGTAAGTTAATGCGTTATGTAGATTTAGATATATACGAATTTGTTACACGAAAAATTAACAGTCGATCAAACCTGTATATAACAATACTGTACATGACAACAGACCTGAGGCGTTGTTACGGGTGAAATACCCCCCCCCCCCCGCAAATTTGCAATTCTTTCAAAACTAGGGAAACCGCGGGGGTGGGTCAAAACCAACAGACAGAAAGTTTTTCGGTCATCTATTTTAGATCCAACGAAGGTAATCGACAGTTATGTACAGGTTCGACTTCGACTGTGCTAAAAGCGATAATTTTAATTTAGATATATGACTCAATAAAATTGTGTCAATATATAACACTACATTTGTGCCAGTTAAAATTTACCTTTACGTAAAAATAGCTGTAATTTCACGCTTTTCTATAGCCGGGCGTTTTCTTGCGCAAGAACGGCAGTATTTCAAATAAACTGTTTAGAAGTATGCATTCGTTTGATCCAAACCAGTGATAATTGTTGTGGGGTTTTCGATTGGAAATGTTATACATTTATTTGACCCAAGCATGCATGATCAGTTTGCGAAAAATGCAACTATAGCCAGTATAGGCCCTCTCACAGGAATCGGCCCTCTGGGTCCCGTGATTCCGGTGCAGCGCTCTAACCAACTGAACTACAGAGTCCAGTTGTCGAGCTCTAACCACAAGTTCATGAAAAGATACTAATGAGTAATGTGATGGCAATGTAAGGGGGTAAATATCAGGATTCTGGGTATCTCATTCGATATAACTGCGTTAGCTGTCGCCTGGTTGAAATATTAGGGAGTTTACGAATGTAAGACGGCGACATCAGGACGACGGCTATCAATACAATGACATTAATCCTATAGAACAAAAGAAATGAATAATTGAAAGTTTAGTAGGGGGTTCAGACGTCGTCCAAGCTCTGTTGCATGACAACGGCAAAATGTATATTTTCACGTCTTGTATAGTACGCTAGCATTTCACGCCGTGACAGGTAGTTTTTCTGGCAGAGTTAATCAAAATTCATTAAAGCTCTGTTTTACTCGTTCGAAATTGTTTTATATTCATACTTAGAAAGTAAATACAGGACAAGATTTCCATGTAATCATTTATTTCATGCAGTTTGTTTAGCCGTCCCCCCTGAGAAGATTTACTCTATAAAAATAAGTGAAGCCTGGCCACACCTAGGTTTTTGCTGCCCCCCTGACCAAAAATCCTGGCTACGCCTCTTTCATGACGTTTAACACTTTTCGTCAAACCACGAAATAAATTTTCGTAAGCGATCGCTTCCTATCGCGAGACTAGTGTGTAATCAGTTCTTGTTTGTGTGGTGGCGTTGTCAAGATAAAGGCTCGTTTACACTTGCAATTTGTGCTGCGATTTCTACTGCGATTTTCTTCTTCTGATGAATGTGAACGAGTGGATGAGTTATAAATGTTCAGATGAGGGGACATACACTCAGAACATTCATAACTCATCTACTCCTTCATATGCATCACTCAGAAGGAAGGAAGGAAGGGAGGAAGGGAGGGAGGGAGGAAGGAAGGAAGGAAGGAAGGGAGGAAGGACTGAGTGAGTCAATTCATTTCTATGTGGCAGTGCACGCATATACACTAGAGTGCCTATTTTTTCATTAAATATGTGTCTGAAATGAATTTAATAAATTTTGGAACTACATGTAAATAACTTAAGTAATACGAATTGAATACAGTGTCTCTTGGTTCGTGTACCTTGTCATATGCCTGACTGGTATCCGCATGGTCAGATGAGGGTAATATTAGACCTAGTGAATGATGATAGAGAGTTTGGTTAAAGCCATTAGTTAGAATTACGAACGTGAGAGTTGTCAAACTGGTTTGGTCTACCTACCTGAAAATGAATTAAAATACTTCGACATTTTGATCTGTTGCAATTGAAAATGAGGATGGATAACAGTATACAATCAGACAACAATGGATACTAACGTATATATATATGCTCAATTTTATTTTATTCTTGACTTTAATCAGAGATACCGGAAACATATTAGCCCAGCGTAGATACAGCAAATGCATATAGTCACTTAAAGTTCACTTAAGGCAATCATAATTATGGTGAATTTAGAAAGCTTTTAATGTTATTTTTAATAATCCTTTAAAAATTATGCAAAGATAAAATCAACGACAGGGTCAAAGTGACTAAATAATTATGGAACTGTTCCCGACAGGAAGTTGAAGGAAACAATTTTACCATAACAAAAGTCTCTGCATGCTGCAGATTGCTCCACTAGTTGTACGTTAATCACCTTGAAAATTGCAATCATTTAACCGAGTCATTCTTGAATTCTTCATAAAGAAGATCAGCATATTAACATTGATAAGTATATCCAAACATGTACGTTACAATGTTGCCAAAGTTTCGAAAGAGTTTCATTTACGTGCTTAGCTTTATAGATATATATATCAAAGCAATATAATGTTCCAGCTCACTGAATATTAATGACGAAACATTAATAACATCTCGTACACATAAACAAATAGCTTTTTCCTGGAAGAACTCGACTCTGACCCGGATCGACACACCAAGCTCGAGGTTTCCGACCCGAAGAAGTGTACACACGAAGCCCTTACGTGCATCAGCTGTGTAGGAATGTAGATTGAGATGGCCTCTAAAGCGAGATATGTGGAGCTCCCAATATACGTCGTACACATTGGCCTGTTGTATGCTCTTTTACTCACGAGTGGTCTTGTGCTAGCGTGGGTAACTATATACCGCCATGAACAGAATATTGCAGAATTGAGGCAAATGTTGAACACACGAGAAGACAAAGATCAGTCTCAAGCTGTTGATACTGCGGTTTATACAAATGCTGAACATAATATGCTTGTTCAGGAAGACAAGGTAGAAATATTAACACTTGAATAATCCTATGTAGTCGGGTATAATTGTTGAAGCTCAACTTCTTGTACATGTACGCCAGTATAGACTACAATGATATTTGCCAGTCCTCAGCAGAGCATACTGCATGTACTACGTACACTCAGTCAAGTGAAGTCTTCATAAGTTATAAACTACACCACTATCATAAAATGTGCATAATCAGTAAGCTCGGATATATGAACTGCTGTGCGCTAGTGTTGCATGGTACAGTGTTGTCCTTTTTAGAATGATTATATTTAAATTTTAGTGAGTCTGAGGACACTTCACTTAGTCCATTGCAGCTAATTATTAAAATGAATGCGCTCAAGATATATGAATAAGTTGGTTGTTATTGTTGGCACTTTATAATAAACACAATGCCCGGCAAAGAAAACGTCAGTAAAATGAACAAATATTGTCAATGAGTGATATTTTGAAACCTGCAGGAAATGGACGACATGTACAGTGGCCCGCGGGTGAGAAGAGGACAAGAGAAGAAAAGAGCCAACAAAAAAGTTGCAAGTAAGGCCAGGGTCAAACGTCGAACTTTTCATGCGCCGAACCTAATGCAAATGAAGTGAAACAAAGAACTTACCCCATTAACATTAGGTTTGGCGCATGAAAAGTTCGACGTTTGACCTTGGCCACGTTGGTGTGATATGGTGTGATTGTGTGGGGGGGGGGGGGGGGGGGGGGGGTGTGTGAATAGGGGTATATAAATCCGCCGATCCGCCCAAATTCGAAGCAAAGTCCGCGATCCGACAATGGTTTTGTCTAAATTCGAATCCGCTAAAAGCTCTACTATGAAGTCACAATCCGGGATCCGAACTAAATTGCAAGCTAAATTCACAATCCGAGCAAAAATATTAGATAAATCCACATTCCGCTGTATTAATAAGATCCGAAAATTCGTGTAAAATATTCGCCAGATCCGAAATCCGACCAATTGTTTGTGTGAAATCCGACGATCCGAAAACCTATTCACCCCCCCCCCCCCCCCCCCCCCGTGTGATAAGGACGGGCTTTGGGCAAATGTACTACAGATTTGAATATCTCGGTAAGAAACAGCGATTGTCACAACATGTGATCGGGAATATGTTCGGTCGTATCAGTAATACTTATGTTAGATATACAGAGCGACAATACAACAATGAACAATGTGATCACTTAGCACGACATAAATGGATAAAATTAAAATTAATTGATTTTTATGTTCATGCAGCGGTTATGGCGAGTCAATTGCCGCCAGTTTAGATCAGTTCATAGACAGTATTAAATATCTTCAAGTACAGGAAAAACTACGTTGCACAGTGACATTTTAACGACACAGTGACATTTTAACTTAATTGTTTAATAAATTATTTTGTATTTTAATTTTAACAGTAAAAAATATGACACGAACAATTATGACCGGAACAATTTATTTTGGCGACCTTTTAACTATTAAACTATATAACAAATAAGTAGGAAAGCAACCACGGCAGGCGAAGTTGCATGATAATTGGAATGCGAAACATTTGCATGGCCGTCGATGTGCCGCGGCGCTATTAAGGATCCATCCGATCGTGACTAAAACACCACACGAGTACATACGAGTAACATACGAGTACATACGAGTAACATACGAGTACATACGAGTAACACACGAGTAACATACAAGTACACACGAGTAACATACGAGTACACACGAGTACATACGAGTAAAATACGAGAATTAGCACGCTTTCTTTAAAGTTTCTTTCACTTTCACACTTTCACTTTGACTTCGTATTATGTTCATGTTGTAAATGCCTTATTGACATAGGCGTACGAGACAGGGGGGCGGGGGGAGGGGGCCACTGCCCCCAGGGCCGCCGAGAGCCTGGCGGGGGCCCGGGGCAAATTTTTTTTAGGGGCCTTATTTAAAAAATTTTTCCGGAAATTTCTTTTTAGGACAACAACCCCTCCCCCGCCGACAACTTTTTAGGGAAAAATTTTTTACGGACGAGTATGATGTAATTGCTTTCCAGCGGCGACTTTACCTCAATTTTTCATACCAAATTTCGTTACTTTGCCAAAAGAGGCAAATATCTTGTCCTTTGCGCGGAATATTTCTTCCAAAAAAATGACTGGGCCCAACAAAAAATTTCTAGGGGCCCCAAGGTTCTGGGGGGCCAGGGGAAATTTGCTCCTCCCGCATTCGGCGGCCCTGACTGCCCCCCCCCCCCCAAATTTTGGAAAACCATGGAAATTCGGGAAAACGCTAGGAAAAATCAAGAAAATTCGGGCAGATTTATGAGAAAATATGTTAAAATCCTGCGAACGGGCTGCCAGGTTCGAAAGGCTGTGCTTTTATATAAGCTAATAATAGATCTTAAGGTGGCTCGATACAGTTTTCAAAAATTCAGGTGTTCAACACTTTGAAATGTTCAAACTATGCATTTTTAGAATATATTCAGCAGATATTGGTTTTTTTTATATATTTCGATATCTCTACTTTCAAATTATATTAGTTTTTAGTAACAGATAGTTCGTTGCTATGACGACATACATGTACAAAATACCCTCCAAAATGGCCTTTCGTCTCGTATAGTTGGAAAAGAAGCATGGTGACCCCCAATTTTTTTTCTTGCATTATTGTACTTGGACGAAAAGCTAACAATTAGCAAAATATAAAAAAATTGTGTAATGCCATTTTTTTGGAAAATGCGAAAATGTCATATTCTTCGGTAAAATTTTTTTGGCATTACAGAATTTTTTTATTTTTTGTATAATGAAAGTTTTTAGCGGTGCAATACAGCATGCAAAATTTGAACATAGGTCACCAGACAAAATAAAGAGATATAGCGCATTGCTTTTCTAAAATGGAAAATTCTAATGACGTCAGCAATTGACATAAAACGCTATATAGAACACGCGAAATGACGTGAGATGGCGCGAGCAGCTGCTTACGTCAGGTCATTTTGGAAGTTCTGTCATTTTGTTAATCAGTTTCCGCGACCTGCGCGTAAGTCAGGCGAGGTATGTTATATGTTTTGAGTTCGCGATTCTTGAGCAGGGTTTTCGTGATAACTATATCGAGCCACCTTAAATAAACTGAAAAAACATACAAGCCATACAAATACAAATCAACTTTATGGGAAGAACTACCATACGGCCATACTATGTTCTTCTTAACTTTAATTTTGGAGGGGGGTGAAAAATTTTCAGACTGTTCTAAAAGGCGTGGACTACATTTTTAAACACATTAAAAGGGAGGGTCATTTTTATTATGCTGTTTGAATTTGAGAATCCACCAGCT